ACGGGGAGACCGGGGGTGACACGCGCTCCGAAGGCGATCCGGAGTCTAAAGACGAATGTAGTTTCTCCCCCCCATCCGCCCAAAAAAGTACTGGGGTTTTCCATGTAAATTGTGCGGATACCTGATGAAGCACTTATTTAAATGGCATACAATTAATTCACTTTCCTCAACGAGACTTTGCAGTCCTGGTAATTACCGGTAGCATATATTAAAAGAGGCAATCCTACAGCTCTGCTTGGCTGTAGTGTTGGAAACAATGAAGGAAACTTAACTGCATTTGTGATGAGGCGTCCAAATCCAGATGCTGTTGCCGTCGGGGTTTCCTGCATTAACTGCATCTGCCATTAGTAGCAGTAAGGTATTAAACCAGCTCATCCCATTTCATGGAACCAAAGTGTAGGGCAAGTTCCTAGTTATATGTATAAAAAAGTATTTTTAAAAAGGCCAAAATCCAATATTTGGCTGGATGTTAATGTGGCATTTCAAAAAGGGCTGTAGCTCAGTGGTTGGTTACATGCTTTCCAAACGAAAGGCTCCAGGCCACAGCTACACGGAAAATGTTGTGATTTGCCGTGGAGTGGATGCTTTCAGAGTGGCCGGCTCCCCAATCCACAAATATTCACTCCACTCTCCCCATAGTCCTTACAGAACATCATCGCAGAAATATGTCATTTTCAGAGTTCTCACTTCATCCTTGCATGCTTCTACCTCTACTTTCTGCTTTGTGTCTTGCTAACTATCTTCTGCCTCCTCAGTTTCTATCTCCTTTGCTTTCTCTCCCTCCTTCTACTCCTCCCCTGTCCTCTCTCTTCCCACTTTATCCATCTCCTCTCCCTGTTCTATGTCTGACATAGCTCCCCCTACATCTTATGGGAGAGCTAGAAGTGGGAAAATCTTCTAGGGCTTTTTGTAGGAGAGCCAACCCATCAGCAGGGACCGGAGTGTCCTTGACTTCAGCCTCACAGAAGGAATAAATCTGAGATTCATAGGGATTCATTCATCTTTGGCCCTGCCACCTAAAAAGGCTTAGAATTGCAATTATTCCCTTGCCAGATGTTCAGAGTAAGATCATCCATGGTTATGTAGCATTGCTGGGCTTTTTATGTATCAAATCCTTGGCTGGCTTTAGTTCACTAATCCTCTGGTAGGAGGGGGAACAGTCACTCAGCAATATATTACACATTGAGTGTAATGTTTCAAACCGCTTTCCCCACTGATGGGCTTCCTGAAAACATTTGGTTAGAAACAGGAGTCTGGAGATGATGATGTCTCTGTATCAGGAGGGCTCTTGTTTTCTTGTTTCTGTTTTCTTAAAATCTTCAGTGTGAATCAGAAACATGCTTAATAAACACTTTGTTCTGTGTATGTTCCCGACATAGAACTTTAGCTAGTTAAGACTGAAAATTAGTGGTGGGAAAAGTTCTACTACTTATATTTTTGTTTCAACTGTCTATTTATTACATAAGGGCCCTGAGCAAAGAATAAGATTGGCTACACATTTAACCCAGACTAATTAAGTCTCTTCCCTATGTTTCTGTCTTCTACCTGTGTCCCACTGCTGCACAGTACCTCTCTGTGCCATCTCGTATCTTCCAGTCCGATGCATCTTGTTTCCTATTGATGCTATGCATGCAAGCATGGCAGTGTCAATCCAGAGCAGCAAATCGGGGAGAACCAGGTTATGGCAGTAGCCATTCAGGATAACAGGCAAAGCCGTAAGGAAGCTGCTTTGGCCCATTTAACTTGTGTACAGTAACTAGCAAGAACTCTCCAGAGACAAGAGACAGAAGGGTTTTTTTAATCTACCCTGCTTATGAGATTAGTGTGATAGAATGTGCAAACTTCTGCATGCAAAACACGAGCTCCCTGCAATCTCATCCCAATATATAAATGCCTTTTACTGAGTCATACTATTGGTTCATCTAGCTTGGTCCTGGTCTCTGCTGGTGGCAACTCTATAGGTTTTCAGACAGGGCTCTTTCCTAAAGATGCCAAACATTGAATTTGGAACCTTGTGTACACGTATTTGAAATAGGGGTACTTCCAATGAGCCTGGTCTATGAATTTTGGATTTCAATTAAGGCAATAGGCCTGAAATCACTACTTCATTATGAGTGAAATGTGGAACTCACCATCTGAGCCACTGTCCTCAGGCCTAGCATTCTGTGGAAGTAGCTGATGGAAGCATCAGAAAGTAGATGTGATAGGAGAGGCTGTATAATTTCAGGCTTCAGTTGTGGGATCCTGTGTGTATTCCAGCAATGGGAGGACAGGTCTAATTTAAGATGAGAGTTTTACTTTTAAGTAACTATGTAAAGGTTTGCACTGGGGGGCATAATATTTTGTTTGCTCACAACCACCTTATTGTTGAACTTACTTCCAAGGCAATAAAATGTAAGCAAAGGAAAGCTGTTGTCTCCCTTTATCGGAAATATGGATGGTAAACACTCTGTGCTGTGCCTTGATGACAAAACATTTCTGTACGTAGGTACAGTTGAACACTGGGAAGTCGATTTGATGCTTGTGTACTGCTGCATAGTCAAATAATCCATCTGTTTACTGCTGCATAGTCAGATAATCCATCCTGAGAGATTAGGACAAGGGAGGGGAGGGACATCAAGCAAGGCTCATGGGAAGCAATATGCAAAAATCCCCTTGAGAAGGGCAAATCATGATTTCACTCTTTTCCTGCTTCTTCTTCTGCCCGTGCCCTGGAAAGAGCCACATGGCAGAATCCAGCCAATGCATAATACAGTAGATGGAATCGCGTTCACATAGTTTCCACAGGCAGAAACAGCTCCATTTGCAAGCTCCAGATTAAATATTCATTCTGTTGTTATTGAAACCCCCAGAGCAACTGCACTATGCAGGCCTTGGGTCCCATTAGGAAGGTCACATTATTGACCATGTCAGTCGACTCTAGCAAATGACTAATAAAAAAAAATCGAAGGGTCCCATGAAGGCCTCTAGAAACAGAGACAGGTGGAATAATATGCAAGTGGTTTCCACACAAACAGCTATCAGAAAGAATGAAAATGGATAATAAATTAATAGGATTGGGTAAAGAACCTACGGAACTGGACAATATGGGAAAAAGAAAATCACTAAATCGCAAAGTTGTATAAACTATTATTGGAAAGAAATATGGAACAGGAAGTAATTAAAGGAAATATGATAAAATGGATGCAGGAATTAGGTAGAACAATTCAAACAGATGACTGGTTTAGAGCATGGACTGATGACCAAAACTATTAATAAGTACAATTTTGAAAGAAAATTATATGAAAACATTATATAGATGGTATATGACACCAGAGAAATTAGCAAAGGTGAAGAAAAATGAGAAAGATAAATGGTGGAGATGTGAAACAATAAAAAGAACACTATATCATATGTGGCGGGGTTGTAAATTTATTAGGACATTTTGGAAAGAAATAGAAAAAATAATCACCATAGATTTAAAAATAAAAATGGAGATGAAACCTGAAACTTATTTGTTCAATATGGTAAAGCTAAATTCGAGACAAGAGACAAAAATTTGTTTATACATATTAGGCACAGCCAGAATTCAAGTGGCGAAACAATGGAAAGACAAGGAGGAACCTTCGATGGTGGATTGTTTAATAAAATTACAGGAACTAATATTAATGGACAAACTAACAAAGTCATTGAAAGGAAAGAGTAGAACGGAGCACAAATCTCAATGGGAATTATTTTAAAGAGAAATGGAAGAAAAATTCCAAACATGTACCCAGTGATTTAGGCTTAAATTAGAAGCAGAACTGCTCTCAACAGAAGTAAAAACAAAGTAAAGCAGATTGTTAATATGGATATAAAATAAGAATTATGAAAGGTATTATAAAGATTGCGAAGAAAATAAATGTCTATTGGAAAATAAGGAAGTACAAATGTTAAAGACCTACGGTTTTGCGAAAGAGAGAATAGAAAGTTATAGAGAGAATAGAAAGGTCAAATTCATGCCGGTAGCGTCGATAACACTGTTCAA